GTAAAGTTTAAATATGGCTCAAATCCACGGATAAATTGTATGAACACCGCACAGTCTCCTTTTAATCCGTAGTGAAACGTATGATTGTCCGTCCACGAAAAATATACAGCATGTAGTTTGGAAACCCTGAATTCGAGGGTAACAGCAGGTCAGGTTCAAAATTATTCAGGAATTAGAAAAGTTTTTTAAAACCGAATTGTACTCTTTCTTCGAGTATAAACTTGGAATAAGACTTAATGTTCTACCGATTGAGCAGAAGAATGAATATTTTTATGCGTGTTTTCCATGAAATATAATTGAATTTTTAAGAGCACTGTAAATCAATGGGAAAAGTGTCTGCCACTTAAGTAGTCATTTTTTACAGAGTTTTGTTTCGCATTCAGCCGAAAAAGGTGTTCGTTCTAAAGCCGGCAACTCCATGTAACTGAATTGTTATAGAAGTATGCTGCGCGATGATTAGTTTTACGACGCTTCTTAAGCAATCTTTTCGAAACAAAAACGCGGTTGGGAATTTCGGTTGACATTTCATGAGTTAGCCCACCTACTGTATATATTGGAAGATGGGCGTCCCAGGTAATATAAGTTGAAATGAAATAGGTTCTATGGGAAAATAAACTTTACTGCCGCCCCCCCAGGTCGTCCTCAGTCGCAGACGAAGAGCAAATTTGAAAAGAAGAGACAGTTGACGTCACGAATGCACATAAAATTGACACTTGCTTGGCCTTTGCGCAGGTAAGCGGGAGCGTGCGTGTGTCAGTCTGATATGATTGGCTCTTTTCTCTTTCATTTTTCCTCGATGTTTCTCTACACGGTATCCAACTCGATATGCCGGTTGATGAATAATCCATCCTTGTAGAATTTTCGGACTTTCTCGAAAGGGCTGACATCGAAAATAAGAGCTATGTCCCAAGCGACGATGTGCCCGGTGTCCAGGGTATGCATGCTGAAATCACGATACAAACATTGGAAGCCATTGCCCCATCCCAAATTATGAGCGCGTTATGTAGATGGCATTTTTGTTGTCGTTAAAAAGGATCACCTGGAAATGCTCCCCAGTGTTATTACCTTGACGCTACCAGGTTGGGAGCAAGCTTCCTTCTCTTGACGTTTTCGTACAGCGAATGACTGACGGGACATTCAACACATCAGTTCGCCGCAAAGAAACTTACACCGACGTTGTTCTACATCATAACAAGAATCACTCTATTGCTCCCAAACGGATTGCTGTTACCAGCCTACTTAATCGACCGAAAAAACCCTTCTCAGACAACAACAGATACTGAACAGAACTCAATTATTTGATCAAACATTTTCCAAAATGGGCATCCCAAAGACATAAGGCAACAGGAATTAAAAGAAAATACAAGGAACCAAATTTCTCTGATCAAGCGCTTAAATAGGAAATCTGAAGGACGCTTCCGTACATTAAAAACGGGTCAGAAATCGTCGGAAGACCCCCGAGGAAACATAAGATACAAGTGGCGCACAAACCGACGACCACATTACGCAACCGGCTCGTAAGTCCTAAGGACAGGTTTAGTTATTCGGATAAGAAAGAGGTTGTCTACACGATTTTAATGCGACACCTGTAAGGCAACGTACTGTGATAAAACTGGGAAGTCGGTCTCTACGCGCATACATGGACAAAAACTGGCCGTGAAGAGGCGAGACCACTTGTACCAAGTTGCCATGAACACACTGGAAACTGGCCATAAATTCGCTTAGAAAAAACA